AAAGAAATGCTGTGAAAAAAGGGAGGTCAAAGAAATGAAGAATCTGAAATGTTCTCTAGATATTTTATGAGAACTTATCCTTTTTTGAGTATAGAAATGCACGTAATTACCTTTTTCACTAATTAAAAGCATTTATATGCTTTTTTTTTTTCTAGAGTAAGCTTTTCAGCATCTTCATCCCCTGTTTTTTCTTTTTCTTCTTTTTCCCTTTTTGGTCCTTTGTCATTTATGCAGCAATGGCTTCTGATTTTCTGCTTCACTCCCTTTTTTCTTTTTCTTTTTTTTTTTTGTTTTCTTTATTATAACAGGATCCCAAACGCAAGGTCCATAAACCTGTGAAAGGTGTTTTAAGACTGGAAATTGAGAAGCACCAGACATTTAATGCGGAGCTGGAAAATATTTCAGAAAGTGCCAGCATGACCAATGAATCTATGGACCTAGGGGATCAAGTTACTGATGCAATGTTCATTAACAGCCCCAACAATGGTTCTGATGGGCCTCAGAGTAGCAATTCCAAGTGGAATCCTAATGATGAGAAAAATGCATCTGGAAATGGAAACACTCATGGAAATCCGGATCTCAATGTTGGTGATGTAAGCAGAATGCCTTTCTTGCGTTTGCATTTTCATTTTGTATTTTTGTTGCATTTCAGTTGCTTATTTGCATGGCTGATAGGAAACAACCAGGGAATTTTTCTTGTGTTCTGTAAATATGGTTTGCCTATTTCTTTATTCAATTTTGAATGGATAAATGCCTCAATTGGCTTGGAGCAAATTTATCTATCTAGCATTGTGATGCTGACTATAACCTTAGCACCGTAAGATATATTAAGTCCATGGACCAGAGAATGAGTAATTGAGGTGAGAGGTTTAGAACATGCATCATGGAAGCTGTTTGAGTTTTCTAAATCAGTGTTATTCTCGATTAGTAGTTTAGATCAAATTATTTCTTGAAAAAAACAAAACGTCTTGTCTGCGGTAGCTGGAAACAATCTACAAGTGATTAAATTAGGACAGAATAATCTGCAAGGAAAGGTACCAAGATCATTGGCAAATTGTAGAATGTTGGAGTTTCTTGATCTTGCTAACAATCATATCAGAGATACCTTCCCTTATTGGTTGGGAGCTCTTCCTAGATTGAAGATTCTCATTTTGCATTTCAACAAGTTCTATGATGCAATTAATGTTCCAGAATTCCTTATTTCCTGATCTATGGATTGTTAACCTTTCTCATAATGGATTTGTTGGTCCTCTACCAACAAAATACTTCAACTTGTGGAGTTCCATTGTAGATGTTGATAAGGAGAACACAAAATATTGGCATGCATATGGCAATTATATGTTGAATGGCTTAATTGGTGCCAGTCCATACCCCTACTCAATGACAATAACAAACAAAGGAGTGAAAATGGAATATGCAAAGGTATTAGAGATTTTCTCTGCTATTGATCTTTCTTGCAACAAATTTGATGGAGAGATTCCAGATGGAATATGCAAAGGTATGGGAGCTTAAATGGACTTCAACTGCTCAACCTTTCCAATAACATCCTCGTTGGTCCAAATCCAGCAGCCTTGGGAAATCTCAAAAATCTTGAAGCTCTAGACCTTTCTCAAAAAAAGCTTGTAGGAAGCATTCCCACGCAGCTGACGTAGCTCAATTTCCTTGAAGTTTTCAATGTATCTTACAACTATTTGACAGAACTTATTCTGAAAGGCTAACAATTTGATACGTTTGATAATAGCTCATTTGATGGGAATTTAGGTTTGAGTGGATTACCACTGTCAAGGAAATGTGACAATTCAAAGGCCTCGCCTCCACCATTTTCCAACTCTAAAGGAAATGAAGATTCTGGATTACTAGCTGAATGAATTTGGCTAGAAAGCAGCGGCGTTGGGTTGTGTTGTGGATGTGGATTCCTTGTTGGTGTGGTGATTGGAAACATTGTTTTTGCAAGAACATGTGAGTGACTGATGAGGACTTACCGAATTAGGATGTCAAGGAGGAAAATGGTGAGGAGGATCCGTTGAAGACGAATGTTTATCTGTTGGTGATAGCCTTTGGCTATGTATTCTTTTGCTTACATTTCTTTGTTTTTTCTTGTTTTTATTTTGTGTGTGCGAACTGTTGTACTTTAAAGCTGCATCAATAAATTGCACTTGAACTTCATTAGCTGCCTGATGTGAATTTTACTAATTTTAAATTTCTAAAAAGAGACAGAAAAAAAGCAAAGAAATGATAACGTATTCATTGTAAATCAGTTCAATTCAGTAAATACTAATGAAAAAGGAAACATAAATTATATGAAGTAAACCACAAAACATCTTAGTAGAACTCCTTTTGATCATTTGATGTCTGGTGATTGTGAGTGGTTTTTATCTTTATGAGGACTTCAAGTTACTTTATTTAGCTCTCGATGTTATGAACGACACTACCACATTGGAAATTCTCTAGTAAGAAATGAAAAGTATGGAAAGGATGAAAAGATGGATCTTTGGTGGTGACTAAGCCGTTTGTGGGCTGTGGTTGTGGTGGTTGTTTCGTGATCGAAACAGAAAAGTGGAGGAGTTGATCGACGATGTTGTAGAGGAGAGAAAAAGTGTGCCGGCTAAAATGGGGGATATAGGGTGTTTTTGACTTTTCAAGCAATACGTTGCTTAAACGGTGTGTTTTGGTGAAGGGGGAGTGTGGCTAGTTTGAACCGGTGGCAGGTGAACTAGTGAGGTGGGCTCGATTTTATCTTAGGGCTGCAATGGGTTTGAACTGAGTAGATGTGGGCGCCTGAGATGGGTCAATACATTGGGTCACACATTTAAAGCCCGCTTTGCGTGGAAAACTTTTCTTGGCATTCTTGTTCCACTTCTTTCTTCCTAGTTGCACTCGGCCTTCAACTTGTTATGTTTTGTTTCGTGTCTTTTTTTTTTTTTAATGGAAAGCCTTCAACTTGTTAATTTCGTCAATGTAGTCCCATTTTCTAAATTATCTATAATTAAGGTAGGTATCATATAATATTTTTTTATACCAATCTCTCGGTATTTAGAAGCAACATTGAACCCCAACTATTACATGACTGAATTCAAGAGAAGGGATATTTTTTATATTTTATGCAGAATATTTTCGATCAAGAAGCTTGCTGCAATGAGGCTAGTAATAAATTTCTTTTACCCATATTTCGGTCAAATTATTTGATCGAAAAAAGGAAAATTTATTCATTAATGAATTTTTATTTTTTCGGTTAAAATGTATGACCGAAATAGTTTTACTATTGCATTATATTTCATAATATTTCGATCAAACTTAATGACCGAAGTAAATTAACATTTCAAATTATTCATTTTAATTCGGTCAAAATTATTGACTGAGTTAAGTGTGCAGATTGCAAAAAAAAAAAATGAAATTATTGAATCAATTTTAATCAATATAATAAGTATTATAATACAGTTTACTATTAAAAAAATTTAATTTAATATTGTCACTTATATATATTTCTTTTTTTATTTTATTTTTT